AGGGTCTGCTGGAGGACTTGAATCGAGTTGAAAAAGCCCAGATCAAGGACGTTGAGATCCGGCGACTGCGCCAGTTGGTTTCAATGCGAATGTCCCAGCCACCGTGTAGACCAGCAGCCACAAACTCAGTATCGCCCGATGGAATGTGGGGGCGAACGTTATCGTGTTGGAGGATGATGTGGCCATTTGCGACTCCCGCGGGCCAAATTTACTTGCTCTTGATGGCTGGCACCACCTTGTCCACAAGCAGCCGGCGATAGACATCCTTGGTCAGTGTGACACTCTTCAGAACCTCGGTTACAGCAGGGCGATTGCGACTTGTACGGACAGCGGACACGCGCTCGGTGATTTCCCAGCATCGAATCTTACCGTCCCAACCGTTGCGCGGTCATGCAGCTGCAAGAAGAAACATCACTTTGGTGATGTGGGACATGGACTTCAGTTGCCTTGGAATGACTATTTTGTCCTTCCAGAAGAGGAATCGGCAACGGAGCTTGGTTATGTAAAACCACTATTCATCAACATGAACATATTTGAGCATGTCATGGATTTTGGTATTGCTGTCGTCTGATCAGAACTGCGCTCAAAACTCAAGTCGAACTTTCTTCTGGTTGTCCTTGAGGCATGGCCATGTCGAACTTGAACGCCGGCTCATTCACTCCTCCTTCACGTACGTCCAGAGGAGAATCGCAGAGAGGCCAGTTGACGCTGCGAGAGAGACCGATACGTTTGTTGCTTGTGGAGTGATGTGCTATTGATGCACGCTTCTACTTCCTCGACGGAGCACCCGGCGCCCATTGTTTCCCTTGAATCGGGCTGCGACATTCGCTGCGCCAGTTTGTGACTTTGTGTCTTGTCCACGCTTGTAGATGCGCCAATCCGTGGTTGCATTGACGTCATACAGGGAGCATACAGTACTAACCGTGGCCCTTGACAGCTTCCCGTTCACGGACTTATCAAGTAGGTCCTGGTACAATGCGACCCGCTGCTGGTTCGTCAGATTTGACTTGGTTTTTGTATTGGATTTTTGCATGTCACTATGAAGCGAGAATTGAAAATATAATTCACGAAAAATTGCATATTGATACAGTAGATTACAAGGAACAATATCCACCAATTTATTTGCCAATCAGAGAACAGGAAGTTGACCAACTGTTGCCGCTTGCAATATTTGCAAAACAGAGGTAGTATTACGCAAGACGGTAGGTGGCAGTTGCAGCAGTTGCAGATGTGGAACAACACACCTGGGACTACCACGTCTCTACCCAGCACCACTACGACAGCCAGGGTACAGTATGGGAAAAAATAATTGACAA